GTTACCTACTAAAATTCTTTTAATCGAATCTAACTATTTAACGAGTCTTCAGTACAGATACCTATATTAAATAAAAATAATAAATAAGAATAAGTAATTTTTTGTACATTTGTGCTCAAGTATATTGCTCAATTCATCCCCTCTAAGAAAACATTTTCAAAAAATAGACTTTCAAGACAGTTTTTATTATAAAAATCTGGTGGCCAAAATTACCCCGGTTGTAAGGGTAATTTTTGTTTTTGTTTTTATTTGGTCACACTGGGAATGTTGGTTCAAAAGACACACCGTAAAAAATTCCGGTGCAAAGTAACTACGGTATAAAGTAACAGCACTTTGGGTACACTATCCATAAAATCCATTTTACTGCAATATCCATTTTTACAGTAAAATATTATACGTAGTTTTCTAACGGTCATTTGTTATACCGTAATTTAATCCGGAATTTGTTGCAGTGAGTAACCATACAGTTGCCGATTATCTTTAGAAAAACCCTTTTATGACCGAAAATTAAAACACTAGTAAGATATAATGTGTACTTTCTATTGTTAACGCAAAAACATTAAATCTAATTTATTCAATTTCACTAAAATTTCAATTCATACACTTTGTTCATCAATCACATACTTCCCAGAATGCCAGTTTATAAATTTAAATTTTCAGGGAGAGAATAAAAAATCCTCTACTCTTATCACAGTGTGACACTCCTGGAACTGTTCAGAGTACAAACCACACAAAAAATCGCTCAGAATCTTCAAGCACTACAACACCACTCGTGGGCTTGACCCGAAGTCAACAATGCCTTCCAAAATTAATAGCCTACCTAAAAAAAAAATTTTTTTTCGTCGTATGAAAATGTTTTAGTCTCTGTGATGCTTCAAAACTCATTGTTGCTTTCGATTCTCAAGCAACTAAAAGAAGAGGGGGAAAAAACACTCTGTACACATAAATCTCGCAATACTGCTCAACCTTGAATCTGCATCTACCGAACCATCTGGGCTGGGCCATAGGAAGGTCTACAGAAAATAGGCAGACACCTTATAGTTATAAAGAGTCCCTATATACAAATAAATATCACTGGGAGTGGTCCTCGATAAGGGGGGGGGGGTTCAAAGACCCTTCCACTAACACAGGTGAAGGGACAAAGGCAAAGAGGACTTTTCGAGCTTAAAAGGTAGGTCTTTCGAATTTTTTTTTTCTCTCCCATTTATTTATTTCTCGCCAACTTTTTCTCACCCTTCCGCTTTTATGATCCACATTGAAGAAAAGAGTAAATTCCTTTCATAGGAAAAATTACTAGTAATAAAATTCTGATGAAAATTGTGCAGATTAGTGGGAATAAGCCTGGATTAATACATCGAACCAAGCAATAAATTTCATTTTTCAACACGTTTTTTGAATGAAAACTGTATAAATCTACAGGAATAAGGTGCAATGCAGTACTGTGAAGATCAGTTCTGGGTATAAGAGGGAATAAAGTACCATGAAGGGAAAGAACAGTTTTTTTATAGCCTTTTAAAAAAAATATACAATTCTATTAAATTTAAATGAACAATTTTATCATTCATTGGTGCAATAATACATTCTCTTGTTGAACGCGAGAAGATAAGTCAAGTTAATTTGATGAGATCTATTTTAGTATTTTCTTCTGCAAAGTTATTCAGTAATGCTGCTCTATATGCAGCAATATTACAAATACAGCAAACATTGATTTTTTATTACTTTCTATATTTTACCAATATGGCCGACCGGTCTGTGTAGGGGGCAGGGAACTGTCCTTGCATCAGAAAGGTTCTGGATTCGAATCCCGGGCAAAGGCATGGATCCTCACTGTGGGAGAGATGTTGGCCTACCTAATATGGTGCCCCTGAAAGAGAGGTCAACAAAATCAGCCTGTAAATGCCTGGAATGACGGATGTTAACACAGGTGGGCATTGGAAAAAAGAATATTTTAGCAACATACATAAATTTAGCATAATACAAATTACATAAAATTCGCTCAAGTTATTCGAATTTTACGAAATAAAAAAGGATAATTTAAAAATATGGGAGAAATTTGGCAAAACCGGGTCGTAAAGGTTTTTTTTTTCCTCCTAAAAATTTCCTTAAACAGAATTACTTTAATTTTTATTAGAATGAAAAAATTACCCTTTACTTCTAGAAATAAACAAAATATATTTATTTGATGTAAAAAAAAAACTATGTTTTGGAGGTTTAATTAATTATTTTTTGAAAGTGGCCTAAAACCCTAACCATCAAGTATGCAGAGTATAATATACATGTATAATATAAAAAATTGTATATTCCGACCAAATTATAATAATAACAAATAATAACGATAGTAACAAATTAATATTCCGATCCTCCTACACAGTGAAGCATACAGAATTTTAAAAATCAAGAAACTGGGTCTTAATATTAAGAAAATAAAAGTTTTTAATAGCAAAAATCTTTCATTTAGGCTAAAGTTTAAGATTAATAGTGACCGACCCACCCCCGGAGGAGTAACGGTTCGACCCGTCGCCAGGATAAGCCCCTCTGGCTTAAGTCTAACTTATAGCAACTTAAAGTCCATTTTAATTACTAATTAAACGGGTCAAATAAATGTTACGATTAATGTCGCCTTTATAACGTAAATACTAGTTTACTTGGTTATGCTGTCATTTAATTCTTGAGCAACACCAATAAAAAACTAAATAATTTTTTTGAAAGTTTATTTTTTGCTGTCAAAATGTATTATTGTTTATTAGTTTAGATTTGTGTATTCTTTATAACAGTTAAATTTCGTTTCGTTTTGGCCAAAAACGGCGGACCAGCTGGTCGCCAGGGGTTAACTGATCAAAATCTTATATATGTGTACTCATATAATATATGGGGCATATGTTGGTACCCAACCTTTCATCTTCTACTTATCGGATAAAAGGACCATGTGTTGGCGACTGCCTTTTCCAATTGTCACTTAAACAAAAATTAATACTCATTACTAATGAGTGAAATTTTAATATTGCGATCCATTGTCAAAAATATATCATGATATTTTCGCAATTAATATTATTTCTACATTGTTATCAATATTTGTGATTGCCAAATAAAATTTAGTATCGTTCACAATAATATCATATTTAATAATTATCGCTTAGTATAATATTCAAAATCTCATATTTAATTCTTTTATGTGTATTATCGGTAATCGGTAACCTGTGTAAATCAGAACCTGGCGTTGTCTTACTAGGCTTTTTGGAACCTATTACCGATAAGCTCTGATTTTTTTTTTTATAAAGTTTATTATGATTTCATTTAAAAGAATAATAATATAAAGTTAGAAAATTTAAAATTCGTGATAAAGAAAGGCGTGAACAATTAACTGTTAATGTTAACAGTTGGTATTAAGATAGTTCAGCATTAGAATTTAATAAACAGTAAGAGATTCAAAAATTAACACAAGAGGAACTTTTTTTTTTAAAGCCCGCCTGGGGAATGACCGACGTCGCATCAGAAGAGCAGATTTGTTGGCCACTTCTCCAGGGGTACCATATTAGGTGGGTCAACGTTGCTCCCACAGTAGGGACAGATAGTACAGAGAATGAAATCCATGTCTTGATCTGGGTTCCGTCAAAATTGGGAACCGTTGCTTTCGATATATTATCTATGCGTCAAATATTTGAATACGTTGGTAAAGTCTCACTTGCTTGTGTATCCATATCCATATTGTAATATTTTTAGGCCGATTTTACAATATAGGTTGCAGACGAATTCAGTAAATGATGCAAGCTGTTACAGCAAGCCCTGAAACTTAATATTGCTTTATTCAATTTAATTTAGAAACTTTTCTTTGAATTACATAATAAATTAATTCAACTTTATTATAAAAATTATATCCTTTATTTGTTCCTGTCTATTGTAAAACGAGCTTAATATAACTTTACCTCATTAAAGTTGGTATCCGTTGGTTATTGTTCCAGTGCATTATAAAATAAACTTTACTGTTCTTTATTTCATTTAAGTTTGTATTAGTTTTTATTGTTCCAATCGATTATAAGATAAGCTTGATTGAATTTTACCTCATTAAAGTTTGTATTCGTTTTTATTGTTCCAGCTTATTATAAAATAAGCTTGATTGAACTTTACCTCATTAAAGTTTGTATTAGTTTTTATTGCCCAATTTATTATAAAATAAGCTTGATTGAACTTTACCTCATTAAAATTTGTATTCGTTTTTATTGTTCCAGCGTATTATAAAATAAGCTTGATTGGACTTTACCGCATTAAAGTTTGTATTCGTTTTTATTGTTACAGTATATTATAAAATAAGGTTGATTGAGCTTTACCTAATTAAAGATTGCAGGATTGTATCCATTGTAAACTGTTTTAGTGTATTTTGAAACAACTTTCGCTGATTTTTATCGTATTGTATCCATTTTTCCTACTCCAATATATATTTTAAAATAAATTTGATTGAACTTTGTCTCTTTAAGACTGCGTCCGCTTATTTTTTGTTACAATTTATTTTGAAGTAACCTTAATTGAATTTTACTTTACTAAAGATTGTATCTTTTATTTACAGTTCCAATGAATTTCAAAATAAGCTTTATTTAGCTTTTCTTCATTGAAGATTGTGTCTGTTAATTATTGTTCCAAAAAAAAAAAAGAGTTCGGGGAATAAGTCTAAAAAAGTAATGAAAAAGTCATTTTGTAAACGTAAAACATCATTAATTTTTTACTCTTTTTAATTAAATATAAAAGGGAGGGGAAATAACTAAAACATTTATCATTTAAGCTGTTTTGTTATAATGAAATCAAGTTGAAAAACAAAGTAAATTATGTTAAACACTCGTTAGTTTAATTAATATTTCCATGATCAAGCAAAATGCAAATGTGATTTTAAATTAGATAAGCTGTATGAAAATTATTATACATTTAGTCGAATAGAATTATCGGAAAAAATGCAGGTGATTGTAGAATAAAAAACTGAACAGGTGTTAATTTTTTCAATCCAGTAAGGATAAGCTCTCTCTTATCTTATCCCAAAGGTCGCCCTTTTAAAAACGAAATCAATCACTGCATCAGATCTTTTCAGTTTTGGAATTTGGGATAATGGGGACGGCAAATATCTTTTTGTTCGGTAAGTACATACTTTTTCAACGCGATGCAGAACTTTCGCTATACATATAATTGTATCTATGTAATGCTATTTAAAAATTACAATGCATATTCGAGAAACGCAAACAATCACACTACAAAGGACTGATTATCCAATTTGTGTTTTCACCCTACAATCAAACAACTATTTATTATACACTCAGAAAAAAAATTGCCCGAAGCTATCAGAATATGGTAAAATGTGTCATGTTTTTAGCTCTATGGGAATACCAAAAAGCTCGGCACCAGAAAACTTTGGAAGAGATTTTGGTAAAATAAACAATAAAATATGAAATTTCGTTTTCTACGTCTTTATAGTACTTTTCCCCCTCCCAGGTTATTGTGTCATTTAGAATTGTGCTTACAGCCATACACCAATTCCATTTAAGCAGCCGGAGGGCTTAAATGAAGAAAGGCTAGTGTTATTCAATTTTGAGGTCCACCGTAAATAAATTAAGGAAGATTTCGTTTTCTATTCAATGAATTTATATTCTAATAAAATTAAGATATTTACAACAGTTACAACTTAAATTTGAATTCATCAGATAATCAGATTAAACCGTGACGTGGAGAAATAGTTTTTGCATAATTTCACACTAAAGTAGATTTGTTCGTTTTCTATTAAATTAGGAATTTATTATTCTAATAAAATTAACTTTGCAATATTTATAAAACAAATTTGAATGAATCAAAAAATCGGATTAAACTGTGACGTGGAGAAATAGTTCTTGTATAATTTCATACTAAAGTAGATTTGTTCGTTTTCTATTAAATTAGGAATTTATTATTCTAATAAAATTAGCATTGCAATATTTACAAATTAAATTTGAATGAATCAAAAAATCAGATTAAACCGCGACGTGGAGAAATAGTTTTTGTACAATTTCATAATAACGTCGCTTTTTTCGTTTCCTATTAAATTAAGAATTTATTATTCTAATAAAACTAAAATTCAATATTTACAAATAAAATTTGAATGAATCAAAAATTCAAATTAAACCGTGACGTGGAGAAATAGTTTTTGTATAATTTCATAATAAAGTCGCTTTTTTCGTTTTCCATTAAATTAAGAATTTATTATTCTAATAAAATTAACATTGCAATACAAATTAAATTTGAATTAATCAAAAAATCAGATTAAATCCTTACGTGGAGAAATAGTTTTTGTATAATTTCATTCTAAAGTAGCTTTTATCATTGGAAAAAGTTGATTTGTGTGTACACTTAGCACATTGAAACATGTGACTGGAAGCTTACTGTCTGCCTCGTCCTCACTGAAAATCCTTCTCAGGCTATCATTTCATGACTGTCAGTAGCTATTCTTGAGTTGGCTTAAAAGATTTTCTAGACATTTTTAGGAAGAAAAATTATAACATCAAATTTAAATCATATTTGAAAAAAAAAATTTACTTATTTATTTTTTTGTAGTTTTCATCACAACGTTCTCTATTTATTGTCATGCTGAAAATCATGAAGAGGCTGATTCCAAGGACTTGGAATTAACCCCACAGCGTAAGTACTTTCAAGCTTGTAATTACAAAAGATTATTTTGGAGAACAATTTTTTTCTGATGCATGAGATTTCTTAACAGATCCTAGATACTTTCGTACGCTGAACGTAATAACAATGGATTGTGTATATGTTGAGAAACACTTTTAAAAGAGTTAGGGCACATTATCAGGGCACAAATCGCCCTGTGTTGTTTACACTCACGGCAACACATAGGAAATCATCCCCGGAAATGTCGTCATACGACGCTAGGGGTACTTTCCGATTACAAACTGTTTTTTCGTACTCTTCTTAACAGGTCATGATAAGGAAGTGCCCCTATCCACGTGCGACGACATTTCAGGAGATAGTTTCCTATGTGTTTCCACCAGTGTAAACACATAGGAAACGTTTTGTCGTTCACTTCTGAGGTAATAATAAGGAAGCGCCCCTAGCCACGTACGATGACATTTCCTTGGATGATTTTATATGTGTTGCCACCAGTGTAAACACCAGTTTCAACTCAGTTATATTTCGCCAAAATATATAGACTAAAAATGTCCGTTCAAAGGAATTATTTGTGGCTTTAGAAGCAAAATTTATTAAAATCCCCACACCCGATTTAGGCATGATCAAGTATTCGTCTGAATGCAATAAAAAAAATTTCCCCAGTGCTATTTTTTATGTCCTTGAGAAATAGATAAAGAAAATACTTAGTGTTTTAGACAATTTCGAAGTTTATTAATGTTATTTTCAATCACATTAGCTATCACAGAAAAAAAAAGAAAATTTTAATTTTTTTAAAAATTAATGTATCAAAAAGTGTCAAACACTAAATAATTTCAGTATCAAAAGTTTAAAAAATTAATATGCTTTTTCGACACAAGAGTATTACAAAAAGGTCAGCTCTGACTATTGCTTGTTTTTTACTAAATTTGTGAATTTTAACAGTCGTTTGGTGATCCGAATTCAACTTTTTTAATAAAAATATCATTGTGAAGTGTTAAATATGAACTGTAAAGCGTTAGTAATAAAAACAATTATTATTAAATTTTACTGTTAAATATTAAAAATATTTTCACTCTTACTGTTGGTTACAACTGATTTCCGCACTTTAATGATACCACTATGGATAATATAATGTATGAATAATATAATGTTAATTAAAGCGTACAGAAACGTTAATGTCGTTTCAGCAAAGATCTTATTTTCTCAAGTGCCTAGTTGATGTATGCTATCTATGTAACTTGCAAATTACCTAGGTAATTGGAGAAATGAAATAATTTTCTGCTCTTTAACAGATTACTCTAGTTAATCTGTACCTTACCTACATAATCTGTAGAACAACTGATTTCCGCACTTTAGTGATACCACTATGGATAATATAATGTTAATTAAAGCGTTCAGAAACGTTAGTGTCGTTTCAAAGATCTTATTTTCTCCTTGACGATTGCCTAGTGGATAATGTGAATACTATCTAAGCAACTTGCGAACTACCTAGGTAATTTGAAAAATAAAACAACTTTCTGCTCTTTAACAGAATACTCTAGTTAATCTGTAAGTTACCTAGATAATCTGTAGAATAACTGATTTCTGCACTTTAGAGATACCACTATGAATATAGATATGGATAATATAATGTTAATTAAAGCGTACATAAACTTTGTCGTTTCAGCAAAGATCTTATTTTCTCTTTGATTAATGCTTAGTTGATAATATGTATGCTATCTAAGTAACTTTCAAATTACCTTGTTAATAGGAAAAATGAAATAATTTTCTGCTCTTTAACAGATTACTCTAGTTAATCTGCACCTTACCTAAATAATATGTACCTTGCCTAGATAATCTGTAGAACAACTGATTTCTACACTTTAATGATACCGCTATAGATAATATAATGTATGGATAATATAATATTAATTAAAGCGTACAGAAACGTTAGTTTCGTTTCAGCAAAGATTTTGTATTCTCTTTAACGAGTGCCTAGTTGATAACGTGTATGCTATCTAAATAACTTGCAAATTACCTAGTTAATTGAAGAAATGAAATAATTTTCTGCTCTTTAACAGATTACTCTAGTTAATCTGTACCTTACCTAGATAATCTGTAGAATAACTGATATCTGCACTTTTGTGATAACATACATTCTATTTTCTGCTTGCATTGTGGTTTCTTAAAATACTTCCACCATTGCCAAAGATTAAATATAGCACTTTAAAAACAACGTTTATTTTTTTTTCTAATCTTGAGTTATAATCGAGATTGTTTCAAATTTAGGTACCTTCTGGAAGCCCACTAAAGTTAATTTCAGGTGCCCTGCTATCTACGGCCGTTATGCACATCCTACAGATTGTGAGTATTTTTATTTATGCAGATTTGGTTGGCCGACTTTGATGCACTGCAACAGAGGCTATTTGTACGACGAGCCTAGAGAGCAATGTCGACCCAGGAATCAGGTCAAGTGCCGTAAACATGATGATGATGGAGGTACAGTTCTTTGTTGTCTATGTTATCATTTTCTCAGCATCTAACAAACTAAAGAAAAATGTAGAAATTTTACAAACTTCTCAGAATTTTAATTTTTTTTTATTTAGCACTAAAAATTTATTTCTTTATTTATCACTTAAAATTAAAATTTTTAGATTCTAGCACTAAAAATGTTAATTTTAAGATAAATGTTACTAAATACAATGTTACTAAAAATTTTAATTTTAAGTGCTAGACGCAAACAAAATTCAACTATATTTCTTCAGTTGGAGTGTGTGCTATGGACCTCAAAACTTTTTTGCACAAAAACAGACAGAAATCTGTCACATTAATCACAAATATTTACTTTTAAAAAAAACAACTCGCTGTTTACAAACAATTCCAGTTGCCTACAGTGACCTAAGTTGCCTAAATGTGACATTTTGTAACATTGTAGCATTGATCTTTGCCCTAATAACCCATTATTAGCGACCAAGTTGGTAACCCTCTCTATTGACTAAATATACTTTAGCTGTGTTTCTAAATCCGATGAATATTAAACACAGCTTTTTTCACACCGCTTAACATTCATCCCTGTTCTACAGCATGGCCAATGTCCAAGTTGGCAACTCTATTTTGAAATAAATATAGCTACCTTTGCCCATTTCTAAAACTGATTAATGTTAAACACGGCCTTTTTTTTCGCTACATAACATGAAACCCCATTGGCATCTGGGTTAGCGACTAAGTTGGTAAAACCCTCAACTACCTAAACATACCTCTTTTTCCCGCTTTTCAAAAACTGCTATATTTTAAAATTTAAGTGTTTTCCACAATCACGAAACAAATCTCCGTCCTTCATTGGGGTCAGCGTCTAAGTTGGTTCCTCTTTCTTTTAAATAAATACAGTCCTTTAGTTTGCATTTAAAACTGACAAATGCCTAACACATTCTTTGTTTTCACAGCGTAACGTTGATTTTCATCCTACATTGAAGTCAGCGTCTAAGTTGGTAACTAACTCCCTCTCTCTCTCTTTTAACTTATCAGACCTTTTTGTGTTTTTTGAATGGCACGAGAACCAACAAATTTTCAACAAGTAGCAAATATTCATTGCCATATTTTTTGTAATAAAAAGTCTCTTTAAAACGCCTAACATCAGACAAATATCTCACCTACCCTTTGTATCTACCTACAAGGGTTCAGAAAATAGTTATGGGATGTTTAAAAAATTATCGGTTCCTAAGAGAATTAATACAATTTTCCAAATACAATACAATACCAAATTTTCTACACGAACCTAATTAAAATAGAGCTCCAAATAAATGTATTAAAACAGAAAATATAATTTTTCGAATTTTGGTATTTTAACTCTTAAAAACTGTCTAGTGACTGAGCTCTAAATTTCTAAAAAATGAAGAGAAATTACACACTAACTAGTAATGCTTATGATTATCAGTGCATAAATGGATAAGAAGAAACAAAAATATACCATTACATTGATCTTTGAGCTTTTTAATCAACCGTTAGCATGGAATATAAACTTAAAATTCTTTACATTATCACAATCACGAATTGAAACTTACAGAGCTGATTTATGACTGTATTGAGGATAAAAAAGCAGTGTTGGTGATATGAAGCGATCCAGTGTCTAGATTAGAGTATTGTGCATATTTTTTGTCATTATGAAATTGAAGAAAATGCATTCACACATTTAAAGAAAACTTTTGAATCATAACTTAGAATGCTCTAAATTTAGGTGAATGGAAGCTTTCGTTTCAATGCCCTACTTCCTACGGCCGGTATCCACATCCAACAGATTGTGCGTATTATTATGAATGTCAAGCTGGTTTGCCATATCTGATACAATGCAGTACAGGTTACCTGTACGACGAGAAACAGAAACAATGTCGGGACAAGAATTACGTTAAATGCATTCACGATAAAGGTATGCAATCCAGTCAACCTCTTATTTGACTTAATTGAGAAAAATACATTCTCATAATGCATCTACTGAATTTATAAACTATGAATATTCTAAATTTAGGTGAATGGATACCCAAAAAGGGCAAGTTTGTATGTCCTCAGGCTTTCGGACGTTACCAGCATCCTACAGACTGCGCATATTTTTATGACTGCTATTATGGTGTGCCATACTTGATGCACTGCAATAGAGGCTACTTGTACGACGTGAATTATAAACAATGCCGAGACAGGAATACCGTTAAGTGCCTCATCCCTGATAAAGACGATAGAGGTATGCCATCTATGTCATTGTCATCAATTTTTAAGAACCTCATTTGCCTTCATCAAATTTAGAAAAATTTATTCTCTTATGCAAAAACTTTTGAATTATAATTTTGAATACTCTGAATTTAGGGGAGTGGAGACCTAATAAAGTTCAGTTTGTTTGTCCTGATTATAACGGACGTTATCCACATCCTACAGACTGCGCATATTTCTTTGAATGTCAATCTGGTGTACCATACTTGATGCACTGCAATGAAGGATACTTGTATGACGTGAACTATAAACAATGCCGAGAGAAGAATACCGTTAAGTGCCTCATCCATGATAAAGATGATAAAGGGGATAAAGATGATAAAGGTATGTCATCTCTGAAATTAATCCTACATTTATTAAATTTTAAAAAAAATATTTTTACCTTTATCAAGTTGATGAAAATATATTCATATATTTCGCCTTTTAATGGAAAACCATTTGAAATAAATTATCCTAAATTTAGGTGGATGGAAACCAAGCAGAGACCAATTTGTTTGTCCTCAGGCTTTCGGACGTTATGCTCATCCTACAGATTGTGCATATTTTTATGAATGTTATTACGGTGTGCCATACTTGTTGCATTGTTATGCTGGCTACTTGTACGATGATAGATATAAACAGTGTCGAAGCAAGGATACCGTTAAGTGCCTCATTGATGATAAAGACGATAAAGGTATGCAATCTGTCATACATTTGAAGGCAAATATTTTGCCCTTCTTTAAAGTTGAAGAAAACACATTAATATATCTTGAATACTCTAAACATAGGTGAATGGAGACCCAAAAAAGATCAGTTTGTCTGTCCTGATTATAACGGTCGTTATGCACATCCTAAAGACTGCGCATACTTTTATGAATGTGAATCTGGCTTGCCCTCCTTGATGCACTGCAATGTTGGCTACTTGTATGACGTGAATGCGAAACAGTGTCGAGACAAGAATACTGTGAAGTGCCTCAATCCTGATGAAGACGACAAAGGTATGCCACCTGTGATACTGCCATATTTTTAAACATTTTTCAAATTGAAGAAATACCATCACATTTTTCTTCTAATGATTTAACAAGACTCTTGAAATATAATTTTGAATGTTCTAAATTTAGGTGAATTGATACCAGATAAAGGTAATTTTACCTGTCCTGCCTATTATGGGCGTTATCCACACCCGACAGAATGCGACTATTTTTACGAATGCAGATATGGCTTGCCATATTTGAGGCGCTGCAACATAGGCTTCTCGTATGACAAGAAGAGGGAATATTGTAGGGACAAGAGAGTTGTCAAGTGCAAAATTCCTCGTGATATTGGTAAGGATAGTTTGAGATGCTTAATCTTATTTTTAATATTCTTAATATATAAGAAGGTTTAGAAATAAAAGAGAAAGAGAGAGTGAGAAAAAATAACCAAATTATGCGAATAGAGAGGATTACTAACTGTTACAAATTTAAAACAACGAACAAAAGTGAATTTTTTTTTTTTAAAAATTAAAACATTCATAAAAAAACTAATTGAGGTTGAAATGATAGAGAGATTTCGCTCTCTCGCATAACCTCTCCCATGCTCAAGCACGAAAGACCAGTGCAGTTATCACAAAACCACCTCGGACTTTGAGCAGAACATACGTACGGGAACGTGCAGGATGCTATGTGAGAATGCGAAATATCTCTAATGTCTCAATTTGAGCCTTTCGGTAACAAACACTGGAACCATTAGTGAATTTGCTGATGGTGTTCCGTAAAACACTAACAAGAACAGGGAGTGAATCGGAATGAAGTTCGATTGAAGAATAAGCAATTCCCTGTTATTCAAACAAAAAAAATATTTCCTTCCCATTGTTTTTTTAGTTAACTAACAGGAAAAGTGTGATGTGGTCGGTAACACTGGATATTTCTCCGCAGGAGTTGAAACCATGTGAAACAAAAATGCCTAACTTTAACCTATTCAAAACTAAATTATTAAAAGCTACAATTATTATAGATTTAATTTTGTTTTTAATATAGACCCATACAACATTATTTATAATACTTTATTTCCCTAACTGCTTGAAATCTTCATTAAAAAAATTTTATTACTGCTAATATATGTGGTAAGAATCTGAACATTTCTTTTAGCGCAGTGAAACCCCAGAGGGTCAAAAAATTAGTTGAAAAATAGACAGAAAACAACTCACACACAGAAAATAACTCTCCTCATAAATTGATAGATCTCTCACTCCCACTAATTCCGAAAATTATAAAGATTTCCGATCTAGATTCTCTAATTATACTAACTAGAAATCAGACTTTATAAAGGACCCCAATGTAAGTACCAGGATGTAAATTTTCTGTCTTTACGCATATGAAAAAATAAAAACCATATATACAATCAAAATTAGAACTTTTTTGTACTGTGAATGTGCTAGCTAATATTGTTTATAATTTAACTAAAAAAAGTTTTTTTTTTCAAAAAACGTAAAACGAGTAAACTCTAGAAGCAAACAGAGATGTTTTAATATTCGAACACATTTACCGATTGCTGACGACCGCAGTTTTCTAAATTATGATGATATTTCATAAACATAATTATGTAAAAATTAGAATACTGAATACAATTAAAGAATAATCATAAAACATTTTAAGTGTTCTAATTCATTCCTATCAATACTGTACGAAATGGAATACTGTGAAGAAAAAAAATCTTAAAAAGTTGTTTTGCTTTACATTAAAAGATGAAGATAGAACCCATATTTCTTATGAAAATTTTTAATTTTGCTAGAATGTATTCTGTCTCAATCTATTTTACCGCTTCAATTGCATGTGCCATAGTACTTAAAGTTTAAAATAGTTCCGGACTTTTAAAAATTTAAATTTAAAAGTTTATTAACTTTACTTACAAAATTATTATAGTCAAAGTTTTGTAGAGTATCGTTCTTTAAAAGCTAGTTCATAAGTATTGTGTCAGTATACCAAACTAGTAAATAAAGTCAGTAAATAGTAGTCAGTAAATAAAGACATTTAACAAAAAATAAGGCCTTCTCCAAAAAATAAAGTTAACTGATAATGGAACTGAATATTAAATGTCGAGTAGCTTTTGGTAGTTTGAAACCTGACAGTAACACTGAATTGTACTCAAATCGGGCTTAATACGGACAAATAAAAATCAACCTTGGTTAAAACTTCTTTGGCTTCAAAATATGAAAACGGGGTCACAAAAGTCAACTTGCTTCAAACTCCAAAAAATAGGCACCCATTCTCAAGACTTGCGAAACTTGAATATCGAATTGCTAAATATATGTTGAACATTGACCTAGTAAATGTCGAATTTATGATACTAACAACTACACTTTATTGAATTCAGGATCAGTTTCTGGTCAATTCAGGTAACTGAACAATAACCTATTAATTGTCAAATTACTTTGGCAAATTTACTACTCTGGATTGAGTTTATGCTCACTAATTCAAAGAAATGAATAGTAAACTTCTAATGGTCCTGTTACTAGAACAGAGATGACGAACTTATTTTTCGATTAGTAGGCCAGTATAATTACGTCTTATTATTTTCTCTTTTCTTTTTTTTAAAAAAAATGCTACCATCAGTGAATTTAATTGTTTAAAAATAATTTAACACTAGAAACTGAACATTGTTGTATACCTTAGAAAGTGGACAGCCAAAACCGCTATATAACGCGAATACACATTAGGTCGAAAGTTTTTGCTAGTTTAAAAGTAAATGAATTGAAACTTTAATGCGGCATATTTTACCCAAGCAGATTAGGTGCCAGGTATGTACCCTATCCGAAAACCTTTTATAAACGCCTCTACTTATTGACATTTATATTTTCAATATTGAAATGAAATATTAAAAGATAAAACAATTAATTATGTATGATTGTTAAATAATCTTGTTTGATCTTCCAGAAGACGACGACGACGACGATGGTGATGAAGAGATCGGTCCTTTCAAGTGTCCTTACATATGGGGTACTTTCGCTCATCCAAAGGAGTGCAACAAGTACTACGTCTGCATATATGATGTACCCACACTGTACACGTGCTCCGGAACTGATTTGTACGACGTTAAGCTTAGAAGATGCATAGACAAAAGTAAAGTCAACTGCGGAAAGAGAATCGGCAAAGATGGTAAGTCATTTTACCTTCTTATAAGAGCTTCTAGATTCTTCATTTTATGATCAGGAGAAGTGTGTATATATATATATATATATA